TTCAGCAACCACCACAAGAGAAAGAGCAAGAGGAAGGCAAGAAAAGGGAGGATGCCAACACATCCATGACTGGACTGGTTTTCTGTAAGGGTATCATTAGGCTGGTTCCCCAGATGAAATACTAGGTGTCTGTTTTTCAGTACATTCCCACCTCAGTATGCCTCTAGTACAGATCATCAAAACATCCTCTTGACTGTAATCTTGAAATAAGATACATCAGATTCTCTAAGGACTCAGTGGTTAGCACTGTTGCCTCACAACGCCAGGGACCCAGGTTTGATTCCAGCCTTGGCTGACTGTTTGTGTGGAGTTTGCACGTTCTCCCCATTTTTGTGTGGGTTTCTCCCACAGTCCAAAAATATGCAGGTTACGTGGATTGTCTATGCTATACAGCCCCTTGGCATCCAGGGTTATGCAGGCTCGGTGGATTAGCCACAGTAAATGAAGGGTTATTTTGATGGGGGTGGGTACTCTTCAAAGGGTTGATGCAGACTCAATGCATCAAATGGCCTGCTTCTGCACTGTAGGGATTCTATCACAAAACAATGAACACAACCAGTAATTTTCTTTTGAAGTGTGAGGCGATGTTATTAAGCGTGGAAAAGTGTGAAATTCTTGTTGCCCAGCTGCACATGCACAGTAACTTCAAGGGGCTAACATGTGCACAGCACCTGCCAGAACTTTCAAACTGCTGCACAGTTGGATGAAATAGAGGGAGAATTGAAAATAACTGTTCCATACTCATTTTATCGAACATCACGTCCAATACTTTATACATTGCTCAATCTTGAGCATTCCTTTAGTATGTGTCTTAAAGATCCCTTTGACTTTTAGTATTCCTACCCTAATGGCTACAGCATGGATGTTACAGCCAGTTGATTTTCAATGCTTGAAACATTAGATGATCTTGTAGGATAGCCTCCCCCAGGTCTGGCCCAGGAAAGGCTAACTTCAGACTGCTCGACATCGACAACAAGGACATTGGCAGAGACTCAATGGTGAGAACATGAATACTATCATCCTGAAACAGAAGAATTGATTTAGGCATCATGGAACCTCATCCCAATACTGTGATGGAACACAGATTTTAAGACTTATATGAGAGTGAGCAAGACCCAAAAGATGTTGATATTACAGCCATGATGCAAAGTTTTTAAGTACCAAACTGTGGTAACAAGCAAAGATCTTATGACCTCACTGATCTCATGACATTCCACTGCAGCAGTCAAATGTTGGGTGGCTTCTTCTTGTCCTGCAATGGAATTAAGACATCAACCAGCAGTGAGGGCAATTCAGACCTAGATTTTAATGTTGGAAAGTGTGAGGTCATGCACTTTGGTAAAAATTATCAGAAGTCATTTAAATGGAGAGAGACTCCAAAAAGTGCAGCACAGAGGGATGTTCTTTGGCTTAAAACACAAAAAGTGAACGTGCATGTGCAGCAAGTAATTAAGATAGCAAGTAGAATTTTGGCCTTTATCGCTAAGAGTTTGGAATTTAAATGTAGGGAACTCTTGTTACAAATATACAACATGTTGGTAAGGCTTCACCAGAGTACTGTATAGTTTTGGTCCGAATATTTCAGAAAGGATGTACTCCCATTGAATGTGATTCAAAAGAAGATGGGCTGAATCATGGGATGAAGGAGTTGACTTATTAAGATTGGCCGAGCAAGTTAAGTCTTAATTCATTATAGTTTGGAAAAACGCAGTGCGATTGTATCGAATCCTACAAGATTCTAAGGGGACACATCAGGTTAGATGTGGAAGAGATGTTTCTGCTTGTGTGGAGAATCTTGAACTAGGGAACATAGTTACAGAATAAGGGGACACTTACTTAAACCTGCGATGCAAAGGATTTTCCTCTCCATCAGGGCAGCGAGTGTCTAAAATTCTCTATCCCAGATATTTGTGCAAGCTAGGTCACTGAAATTATTTAAAGAAGGGGTAGATAGATTTTTAATACACACACACAGAATAAGGGGAAACTTAGTCCTAGTTCTGAGGAAGGGTCACCAGACCTGAAACGTTAACTCTGTTTTTTCCTTGACAGATGCTGTCAGACCTGCTGGGCTTTTCCAGCAACTTTGTTTTTGTTCCTGATTTACAGCATCTGCAGTTTTTTTCGGTTTTTATTTAGATTTTTAATATATTGGGAAATTGAGGGCCATGATAAGCTGGCACAGATCAGCCATGATCTTGTTGAAAGGAAGGATGGGCTTGATGATCCTACTGTTGCTTCTATTCCTTACATTCTCATGTTTTTTTATGTTATCAGATGTTGCATTGCAGTCAGCTTTGCAACATTTCTCAAGGATTTGGCCACTATCTTACATTGGAAAGCCTGAATTCTTAGCACAGCATAAGACCTTGTCAAGTTGGAGGTGGACTTCTCCATCTCTATGACAACCAGAATGAATAACCAGTTTTAAAAAAAGCAGTAGTACTTGGAAATGATCATATTGGTTTTACTGTAGCTCTGTTTTGAAGCATGTGACTCAGACTAGTATATCTCATACACCAGTTTTACTGTTAATCACTTCTGGAAGTGACAACAGGCCAAATGCACTGAGTAATTTGATGTTAGTGAACATCCTCATTTTTTTCAGTTTTCCACCCCAACCAGGTTCTGATCTGAGTCCTTTGCAACACACTTCAAGTGTGATCCCAATCTCCTGTGAACTGGCACTCATGTCATAGTTTCGTTCTGACCTAGCTATAGATCACTCATGGTCATTGATTTACAAGGGATGGATTCTATCTCTGTAGTACTCTCTAAAGTACTTGCAGTGTCAGTGTCTGTGTTGTTGACTGCAAATGTTAGATCAAGTAATGATCAAGTTGGTCTTCCTGATGCAGTCAAAATGCTTCTCCCCTTAAGGATATGTAGTATGGCTTTATACACTGCTGGCCAGTTTTAAGAGATGCTAATCTTGGATGAACTTGGAACCCCTGCTTTGTGTCTGTCCCCACTCTGTTGAAACAAGGTTCCTGCCTTTGCTGCTTCTGTTCCTGCCCCCTTTTGCTTTTCTCCCCTTCCTTCATTCCCTCATAATATTTCTCCTTTTACCATCCGTACGCATTCCCACTTATTCATTATCTCCCCCTTTGCTCTATTCTCTCCATTCCTATTTCCCTTCATCCTCACTTATAATTCTCTGTTGCTGTAGGCTTGCTGTCTGTGGGTGAGATGGAATCTGTTATCTTTAGATGTGTTTAGATTGTTTTCGGGCATAGACAAGGCAATCATACACAGTTATCATGACAATATCTGCTTCAAAAAAAATCAAATTACAAATTCATTAGTTTTCTCTCGTGGGAAGGACCCAACAATAAATATCTGCAAAGGTAAGAGTCTATCACTGGTCATCTAGATTTCTGAGAGATAGGATAATTTGCTTTGACATTTAATTGATGGACAGCTTGGCAATTGGAAATGACTAATTGAAAGAAAAGGTCAACTTTCCTTAATTCATTATTTCTCTGATTTCTTCAAGATAAAGACAGATCAAATCTGTAAAAATTTTATGTTCTAAACACTGGCCTAGGTTTAGCATCACTGAGAGTTAGAAAAGTGTGAGATTTCAATTTTCTATGTGAGGTATAAACTAAAGATTCAGTAAGAAAGTAGGATTTATCATCTTGATTTTATGCTACTGCTTAATTTTACTTTGAATAAAACCTTATTTATAGAAGACCACAGACGATAAGACATCGGAGCAGAAATTAGGCCATTCAGCCCATCGAGTCTGCTCAGCCATTCAATCATGGTTGATAAGACCTCACACTTTCCCACGTTGTACTCCATCTGCCACTTCTTTGCTCACTCTCCTAACCTGTCCAAATCCTTCTGCAGCCTCCCCGCATCCTCAATACTACCTCTCCCTCCGCCTATCTTTGTATCATCTGCAAACTTAGTCAGAATGCCCTCGGTTTCTTCATCTAGATCATTAATGTATGAAGTGAAACATTGTGGTCCCAACACTGACCCTTATGGAACACCACTTGTCACCGGCTGCCATCTTGAGAAAGACCCTTTTATTCTCACTCTCCGCTTTCTGCCAGAGATCCAATCTTCTATCCATGCTAGTATCTTGCCTCTAACACCATGGGCCCTTATCTTACTCAGCAGCCTCCTGTGCGGCACCTTGTCGAAGGCCTTCTTGAAGTCCAGGTAGGTAACATCCATTGTCTCTCCTTGGTCTAACCTGCTCATTACTTCCTCAAAGAATTCTGACAGATTTGTCAGGCATGACCTCCCCTTGATGAAGCCTTGCTGACTTTTCCCTATTTTACAATGCACTTCCAAGTATTCAGAAATCTCATCCTTCACAATGGACTCTAAAATCTTACCCACTACCAAGGTTAGGCTAATTAGCCTAACTTCATGATCTACTGCAAGTAACTTTTTCACATTGGAGACTTCCTACCATTGACGTCTAAGTCACAGGGTCCATTAGAGTGTTCATTCTTGCACTAAGGAACACGTTGAAGGTTTGTGTCAAGTCTTGAAATTAATTCCAGGAACAAGGATTTCTGCTCAGTATCTGCTTGTATAAAGTTACATTTGGTTCACAGTGAACAGAGACTCACTGGGAGTGACATCAAGTCCAAGAGTATTATTTGACTAAAGACTGAAAGCTCAATACTAGGTTTCAATTTGAAGGACGTGGCTAAAGAACAGTTACTATGGTTAATTGTTGGTCTTTAATTGATATATGTATATTTTCAAATAATTTCAATATGACCAGTAGATTTTTGGGTATTATACATTAATATGATACATGTTGCCTAAATAATACTTTTGATTTATATGATGATGCTTCACGATGATCTAGAATTCTATAGTTCTACAACTGATAAGTAATTTACTGTTATGAGTAGGTAAATGTAAATGAACAATGACTAGATTTTCAGTCTATTGCAATGATGTATTATTAGAATTTGTTCAGGACACATGATTTATAAAAGAAAATTTAATGCCATTTATCTATTTCTCAGGCACATCATGAATGAGCTGATTGAAACAGAACGGGTATACGTGGAAGAGCTTCTGAGCATCATTGAGGTAGAGAAAATGTTTAATTCAAAATTCTGAAAAATGAGTGCTTTATATTTGAGGAGTTTTGATTAGGTCGTTGTTTCACTTGGAAAGGATGTAAATAGGATGTATATGTAAAGAATATATTGCGATGCAACCTATTGTAGAAGAAATTAATTTTGACGACCATAGTGGTCACTATCAGTGGTAACATGAAAATCAAAATTTCACCTGAACAGGAACTCTGGGACATTTATTAATATGGAAAATTTCTTGATTGTGCAGCCCTCAGGCATCTTTATGCACACAGAAGAATATGTGCTCCACATGTTCATTTTTTGAAAGAAGCAAAGACCCAGCAAACTTCCATATGAACAAGTTAAAAATGGCATTTGGGTCCACTTAATTGTGGGGAAGGCCATGAGTCTGTCTGCCTGTGGCAGGAAACCACCTCACCTCAATCCTGGATTATGTCAGCAGTAGGAAGTCTCCAATGTGAGAAAGTTATTTGGGGCAGATCATGAATTAGACCGGGAACTCATTGACATCAATTATCCCTGAGCCCACCAAAATTTATTGATGGTTCAAGGACTAAATGGAAGTTGTACAGGCTGCCTGTGTGTCCAGAAGGATACCCAACACACCCTATCTCATTTTACGGTGACCTACCAAGGGTGGAGTGGTGTGTGAGAGGGTCTCTCATTGTCTGACAAGTAGTGCCCAAATAAGGGACCTACCATCAGGAAGGATGGGGCACCACTGAGAGCCAACCCACACCCTGCTCCTCCTATTATCATGACATCTTCCCTGTGACCCACATCCCATCTTCACTCATCTGTGCTCAGTGATCCAGCAACAATCCCTTGTGAAGTCCTTGAAGATTACTGGCAGCAGCTATCACTGCCAGTGGTGCTTCCACATTAAAGAGCTGCTGGTCCCTGATTAACTGGTAGATTTTGGCAGGTGGGATTTCTGCCCCAGGAATCCTAAATTCCAGTGAAGGCATCATACTGGCTATTCAGTGGCTAAAAAACTGAAATCAATGGTCTTTCCTTTAGAAATTACAACAGTCCACTTTAAACCATAAATGATTGCTATCAGCTTATTTTTTAACCTTATCCACTCCTGGAAGGATAAAATCGCAAGCATGGCGGGAGCACCAAACAAGATTTGTGAGCAAGCCACGGACTTAACAGTATTCCGTGCCCAATTAGCAAATAATTAATGGACATATAGTCCATAGAAATGATATGATTGTTAACCCCTGTAAGAAATATTAATTATAGAGTATCAGAAAGATTTTTACCCATTTCATCATAATTTATTGCCAAATAACCAGCTGGAGGAAGGAGGAAGAGGTATTGTACAGAGGGTAACGCTATCCTCAGGACCAGGAGGCCAGATCGCAGAAATTCTGTCACATTGCTCTGGTGACTTAGGTGACACGAGCAAAGTATTACAATGGTTGTAAATCCAAAATATAAATATAAACTGCTGGAAGCATCAACATTCCAGGCCAATGATCTCTCAGTTAGTGTCAGAGAGTCATACAGCAGTGAAACAGACCCTTCGGTCCAATTTTTCTGTTCTGACGAGACATCCCAATCTGACCTAGTCCCATTTGCCAGCATTTGGCCCATACTCCTCTAAACCCTTGAACTGACTTAAGTGACAGCCTTCCCTGTAGGTCCACTAGAAGATCTCTCCTCAAGCAGATCTTGTCCAGGAGGATTTGTGTTCACCACCTGAGAAACTGTGGATTCACCCCTGAGTCTTTTCTTGCCAGCAACTGTCACTACTTTGTTGAATCTTCAGGTAATAATTCAATGTACTTCAACATAAAAGCTGTTGGTGCCAACATATACCACTTACTGCCATGGTTCCAGGAATCTGGGTTCACTTTAAATTATTAAATGTTTTAAATAGTACAGAAACAATTTTCACCACCCTGCGCATTGTAATAATTAAGTTTCTTCCACACTAAGGTCAGCAGATCTTTCAAATCCTGATTGAATCAGCAATGTAATTCAATAATGATCAAAAGTCCTAGATGTTATCATATCTCAAAAGTACAATAGGGAGTTTCAGGGAATTGTGTTGTACGTAAATTTAAAGCCAAGGATCGAGATGGCTCCAGGTTCCAGTGTGTCTGTCCTCTAGCAGCTGGCGTTTATCTTCAGATTCCATTCAATATTAAATGCTATTTAGGTCAACAAGAAAGAATTCAGATGATTCAGATCTCACTCTCCAGTGTATCATCAATGTGGAAATTGAAACTATAATCTATTTAACTATTTTTCATATGTATTGTGTGGAATTTTGATTCAATCTAGGCCACTAAAAAGTTAATGCGATATTATGGGCAGAACTTTACCACCTCCATGGTGGTGCAAATGAAGTGCTGGGGGTAGGTGAGGAGCATTAAAATGGTAAAGGCCTGTGCTAAATCAGCTCCCTGGTACTGTGCAACCACTGACAGTTTTATGAGATGAGTGATGGCTGAAATATTAGCTGACACAACTCTGGTGAGCAAGTAATTAAAATTCTTAAAAAGACAATAGTCTGATACTCATAAAATCCCTACAGTACAGAAAGAGGCCATTCAGCCCATTGAGTTTGCATCGACCCTCCAAAGAACATCTTACCCAGACACACCTTACTACCATATCCCTGTAACTCCTACATTTTTCATGGCTAATCCACCTAGCCTGCACATCCCTTGACACTGCACGCAATTTAGCATGGCCAAACTACTTAGCCTGCACATGTTTAGACTGTGGGAGGATGCTGGAATACCCAGCAGAAACCTGCACAGGCACAGGGAGAACATACTCCACACAAGGTTGGAATCAAACTCAGGTCCGTGGTGCTGTGAAGTAGCAGTGCTAACCACTGAGCCACACGGTGAGACTTCCTGTTGAAGAAGCAACACTAGTGAGTTTTGAGTCATTGCAGGGAGTTGGTGAAGGTGTTGTGCTGTTTGTGGCAAATTTCTACACACAATAGCAAAATTATGAAATTGTAACAGGTTTCATTAACCAACCAGAACAGCTATGAGTAACTACACTTTTAGCACTGTTTGGTGAGATTGTTTCAAAGTGTAGGCCATCCAAATCTTTCAGAGGAACAGAAAAAGTAGAAAGCAGAAGTTTTGAAAGTCTCGAGGGTACATTTTGAACAGCAAATCAACTTAAGCTTTGAGTGGTATGTGTTTAATATTACGGCCCAACATGTAAAGAGTCTCTTGATTGTAATAGGCTTGAGAGACTATTGAAAGAATTCTGAAGTGATAAAACAGCAAGTGGAGAATATTCATGGCAGAATAGAACAGGTTTCGCATTGTGTTGATAGACATTCCAAGTTGAAAGGGCAGAAATATCACAGAGAAAGGGCAGGATGCAATTCCTACAAATGTCAAAGCATAAATGAAGAGAAGGCATATCCAACATGGGGAAAGCATTGCTCTCGCTGCAAAAAAGCTATATCATTTTGTACGCATGTTTGGCTAGAAGGAAAGACAACAAGGAGGTATAGATGGCTTCCAAACAGATATGAGCCAAAGTTTCTGATAAGTCATTGTCCAAAATATGGCAGTTTTGGAAAGGCAAGTAGAGAGAAAGCAGGGAATTTTAGATCAGTGAGTTTGATGACAGTAGTGGGGAAGATGCTAGAGTCCATTTATCAAGGATTTTATAGCATAGTGACTAGAAAACAGTGGTAGAATCAAACACAGTCAGCATGGATTTACAAAAGGAAAATCATGCTTGACAAATCTACTGGAATTCTTTGTGGATGTAACTAGTAGAGTTGATCGGGGTAGCCAGTGGATGTGTTTTATTTTGACTTTCAGAAGGCTTTTGACAAAGCCCCATATGAGATTAATGTGCAAAATTAAAGCTCATTGGACTGGGCGCAGATAGAAAATTGGTTAGCAGACAGGAACCAAAGAATAGGAATAAATGGGCCTTTTTCTGAATAATAGGCAGTGGCTAGTGGGTTACTGCAAGGATCAATATGAGGATCCTGAGCTATTCCAAATCTATGTTAATGATTTAGATGAGGGCACTAAATATAATATTTCAAAATTCGCAAATGGCACAAAGCTGGATGGAAGGGTGAGCTGTGAGGAGGATGCACAGTGTGATTTGGACAGGCTGTGTGAGTGGGCAAATGCATGGCAGATGCAGTATAATATGGATAAGTATAAGGTTATCTTTGGTAGCAAAAATAGAAAGGCAGATTATTATTTGAATAGCTGTAAATTGAGAGAAAGGTGTCTTTGTGTACTTGTTGTTGCTGAAAGTAGGCACATACGTACAACAGGTAGTAAAGAGGACAAAAGTAAAGAGGACAAAGCTTTTCTGATGAAGGGTCTAGGCCCGAAACGTCAGCCTCTCTGCTCCTATGATGCTGCTTGGCCTGCTGTGTTCATCCAGCCCTGCACCTTGTTGTCTCGGATTCTCCAGCATCTGCAGTTCCTACTATCTCAGGACAAAATGTATGTTGGCTTTCATAGTGAGAGGAATCAAGTACAGGAACAAAGAGGCCTTGCTCCAGTTACCCAGCGCATCAATGAGGCCACATACAGAATATTGCGTGCAGTTTTGGTTTCCTTATCTGAGGAAGGATATTCGTGCTATTGAGGGAGTGTAACAAGGCTTACCAAATTGATTCCTGGGATCGCAGGACTAACGTATGAGGGGATTGTATTCACTGGAGTGTACAGGAATGAAGTGAGATCTCATAGAAATCTATAAAATTTTAATAAAACTAGATAGGTTAGATGCAGGAAAGATGTTCCTGATAGTATGGGAGTCCAGAACCAGGGGTCTTGGTTTAAGGATAAGGGGTAAACCTGTTAGGACTGAAATGAGGAGAAAGTGGTGGAGCCATGATCATGATGTTGGACGAAAACCAAGGGGTTGAATGGAGTACTCCTGCTGCTATCTTCTATGGTTCAGTCAGGACAACAGGAGATAAATAGTTTGTGACTGTTGGAATGTTGTCTGCAGAAGAAGAACATATGA